GATTGGTTGTTGCATTCTGTTTGTTGCATTCTGTTTGTTGGTAGGTTCCTGTTGTTCCCCCACGATGATGTCATGGTCCTTCCCCTCTGTCAATTTTGGAAACCCCTCCCTTTATTCCTGAACCTTTTCTATCAGTCGTCCCTTTACGGCCCCCATTTCCTGCCCATCATTGTAAACCCTACCCTTTCCTCCAGTACCTTCCATGCCTCTCATCCCCTGCTCGACACAGGATTGGTTTTGCAATTGCCACCCCACCCACGTATGTTTCCCATTGGTCCCAAGCTCTGTGAACCCCTCCTTTGACTCCTCCCAAAGTGCTCCCTGATTGGTCCCTGAGTTGTACCCTCCCCTTGGTTAAACCCCAAGGCACGGAGGTCCTCGGGGCTCAGTTATTCTCCTGTTTCATCGTCCCAGTCCTCTCCCCACTCACCTCTCCCTTTCCTACCAATAAACCTGTTCCTGGGAAGCTAAGAGAGACTCTGAGCCTCCTCCGTCCCTTTACTGAGACCTGCGACGCCTGAGACCTACAGGGCCCGAGTGCAGGGGGCTCTGGAGGTTCAGCACTGGGACCATCGTGCCCGTGCTGTTCCCCACTCTTGGCGCTGCCATGGGCCGAGTGGTGTAGAGCTAGCCCAGGCTTGGAGAGCCGTAGAGCGCAGCGTCCATTGGTTGAACTTTTTTAATTTCTCTTAATTAGTTTCAGCTTTTTCTTGTTCCCAGCAGCTTTTCAAACAGAATTTAAATGTGCATGAGAGCAACCTGGTAAACCAGGGAGAAAAAACATTCCATACTTGAATGAGAAAGTACAGTAAAATACAAAACTATGAAAGAAAAAAATCAAAGGAACAAACAGGGAAGAATTTGGTAGAGCAGAACTAAAATTTGAAATCAGGAGCAGATCACCACGTGCAGGGGACATAAAACCAAGGACATCAGATTGGAGCACTGTGTTATTATGGCATGAGATGGTGTAAAATGGAGCCTTAAACACCTTGAATTTCCTTTACAACAGTCATACACAATAGAATTCATTGTAACATGCCAAGTGTCTGTGGATTTCTTCGATATCCTACATTTCCACAAGAAAAGATGGTTTCTGTGAATTAAAAAAGCACCCTGGGGGATCCTGTGTATGAATTCTTTATGACCAGACTGGTAACATCTTCCAATGACCATCGGAAATGTGGAAATTATCAAAGAAAAGAATATATTTCAAATGGATAATAAAAAAACCCTGTAACTAGGATATTTTTCAAATAAGGGGCAAGAAAAGTCTTCAGCCTAGTCACCTACAGATATTTAACACCCACGTTTGTACATTTTTTAATGTTATCCTCATTCTGTTGCAAGAGGGTGTACCTGGATTTTGTTCAAAATATACGTGTGCATTCTACATAACTAATCTTGATAGATCAGCTTCTACAAAGACCTTCCGTAGAGGTCTGAAGGTTTTCTATATCTATGAGATGAGTTTTCTTTTTCCTAAAAAGAGCTTAAGCTAAGGTTTGCAACACTTCAGGATCTCCTGCTTGGTTGACATCCTTTAAGATAACTGAACACAATTCACCAGCAAGGCATCTGCCATTATTTGGTTCAAAACACGTGGCATTTTGTCATGGTTTAAAACAGTAACTAAAAAAATGTACTTATTTCTTGCTATGAGATATGGATTAGAACAAGAGCAAAAACAGGCTTCAAACTTGAAAGGAATAAAGAAAGTTTATTAACAAAACTACAAGAATAAAAACACCAGAATAAACTTTCAGAAGACTCTTTTATCCCCCAATACCTGACCATTCTTTTGTACGTGTGACAACAAACAGACCAAAATCTTTAGAACTTTGGTGGTTAAAACAGTCTCAATTTCTGCTACAGTCTTTTCAGCAGTCTTTGTAGAGAAACAGAAGTCTTCTTTTGCTAATCTATGGAGTTTCTCACAAGAAAACGATTTCTGTTACAGTTTTCTATTTTTCTGATGTCGGCTGCCCAGAAATGCTCGCACCAGAGTTCACTCCTCCCATTTCACATCACTCTGAGGTGTGTGTGGGCCATGAGTCTAGAGATGTCATGTTAAGGATGAGTTATTCAAAGGCAAAAGTCCTCTTCACCTGTCTCTGTGAGCTTTTCTGGAAAACAGTTTTCTCATTGCCCCCAAGGCTTCAAAGCTTCACTCAACTCTGTTCCAGCAACTCGCTGTATCACAATTACTCTCTCTCTTTGGCTTCAAATCCACGCTTTGAACACTCCATTCCTCCCAATATACTCTGTCATGAATTAAAGGAGTCTTTTCAAACTACTATTGTCCATCTCCATAGCTTTAGCAGAAAGATATTTTCAGCTTATAAAACATCTCCTTATTCTCTCTTTCCCATTTAAAACTTCACTCACTTTTCTCACTGTTTCTGGTGGTTTTATGATGTCTTCTGTATGTTGACTGTCTCTCTCTTTCTCTGTCTCTCTTGGGAAAACGGAGTAATCTGTACGTTTTATCCAGGTAGTAAAAGAATTAAAGCTTTAGAAAAGCTGCAAGAATTCATGGTGTCAGGTTTCAGTCCAGCAGCAGAAACGGAAAACTAAACCAGGCTGGCCGGCTCTGCTTCTCCCCCCCCACTTCGTCCTCTGCGGCCTTGTCCGGCCTGGAGGGGGGGAGAAGCCAAGGCAGAGCCTGTTACCTTTCCCGAAATCACAGACACAAAGAGGACAAGAGAGCTTTGGCTGTACATCTTAAGGGGGTGTTCACAAGTTGACTTCACTTTTTCATGGTCAAAACTGTTGTCACTTCTTAGAAATGACTGCTAATTGGTCAGGAGGAAGGACTCCCATCAGCCACCAGCAGCTTCAACGTCCTCAGCTCTCAAAACCACCTTAAAGGTAAAGCCACGCCATGACACATTTTTACTGAGCTCTCGTGTTCCTTTCTGATTCAGAAGAGCCCATTCTGCACTGCCTTATCTGACCCTTTAGGACTCTACCCAGGCAGACCATGTGCATTTTTATTTTATAAATGGGAACAAGTTCAAAATCATCTTTCTTTTTAGTCTTTGCTCTTATTAGTTCCTGCTTCCTTCACTTCCAGGACCGAGTTTTCCAAGGACACTGTTCACACACCACCTTTGCTCCTTTACCTTTGGGCTCCCCATGGAGTGGCAATGTTTCCGTAAGACATTTTGAACCCTCTTTTCTGACTGTGGGTTCTTCATGTTAAACCTCCCACTGCGCCCAAACCCTGACTCCCAACCCCTGGAAATAACTGCCAGACACTGAAGATGTATTTTTGAAATGAAAGATTTTATTTCCTGATCTGGTCTGAAATTTTTAAGGTTTACAACCCCCCCCCCCCCCAACCCCGCAAAAAAGCCAACCCTACAAGCGACCAACCAGCTCCAAACTGTGGAGCCCAAAACACCCCCGAAAAAACCTGATAGACACAACAGGAGAGAATGAGAGAGGGGAAGGGAAGGGAAGGGAAGGGAAGGGAAGGCGCAGGAAGGCGCTGGAAAGCGCTCTCCCGGGACTGACCCGAGCCCCACAAACCCTTTATATACCCCCAGCCTGGGTTGGGGCTCTGCCATGTCACAATGGACTTTGGGCATCACAAGGTCCCGCATCACCGAGGGCCCTGACGCACCGTGC